AGATCACTCCAGCTACAGTGGGAAAATGAAATCAAGTGAGGTAAGAATAGAAATGTAAGGAGACCAGTTTAGGAGGCTGACGCAGTGGTCCAGGTGAGAGCTCATGGTGGCCTAGGACGGGGTGGCGGGCAGGGAGAGAGATGACAGATTCCAGAGAGATATTCAGGAGAACTAACAGGACTTGCTGAGGATTGGCTGTGGGATGTGGGGGTGAGGGAGAGGGAGGTGTCCAGGAGAACTTCCAGCTTTCCAGCTTGAGCAAGTGGGTGGATGGTGGTGGCAGAGATGAGCTGGGGACATTGGAGGCAGAGCAGGTGCTGGCAGGCGGAGCTGGGGACCTGGGTTTGGACCTGAGGCTGATTGCGAGACATCTAAATGTGGCCCAGGAGGCAGTTATACCTTCAGGTCTTGAGCCCAGAAAAGGTAATTAAAGTCAGAGAGTAGATGAGATTATCTGGTAGTCGGGGAGAAGTGTGCGACGGGGCAAGAAAATGGGCCGGGCAGCTCCGAGGAATCATGGTAGCAGCAGGGACTGGGGCAAGAGTGACTAGGAGCTCTGAGCTTGAAAAATCAGAACCATGAAATCCAAAGGTTACTTCCTTCAGCCTTTGGGAGACATCTGGACTTGGTTCCACCTTTCCTGGCCAAGCACGACGCCTCGGCTCAGGCGCTTCCCCGCTGAGACAGCCCTCCCTTCCCCACAACACCCTCCTCCTTGGCAAACTCCGAGTTGCCCCTCAGACCCAGCTCAGGGGCCCCTTCTCATAGCTGAAGACTTCCCTGGTCCAGGCATGTGCTCTGCAGTCCAACAACCTGGTTTGAATCCCAGCTGTGCTACTTGATGGCTATGTGACTTTGGCCAAGAAATTTAACCTCATTTTCCTCATCTATACAATGGAAATAATAATAGTACCTACCTCATAGGGCTATTTGAAGATGAGTATGTAAAGTGCTTAGCAGAAAACTTAGCACACAGTAAGCACTAAATAAATGTTACTATTATTAACATCCCACCCACCCCGGGACAGTTAGTCATGTCCTCCACCTTATACCTCCTCCACTTGGGAACTATTTGCAGGTCTGTGTCCCTCCCTGTCTCCTCCTACCCCCACCCAATGTGCAGGGCTATATAATATGTAGGGCCCAGTGCTTAATGAAAATGCAGGACCCCTTATTCAAAATTATTCAGAATTTCAAGATGGTGACAGCAAAACATTAAACCAAGTGTAGGGTCCTTCTAAGCGCAGGGCCCTGTACAACCACAGACTCATGAAACCAGCCCTGCCCCCACCCACAGCCAGCCCTGGGCCTGGCCCAAGTAGGTGTTAGCCCCCATGCAACAGAGTAAAAATGCTAACTAACATTGAGATAGAGTTTTGTGATCTCCATCTGGAATTTAATTTAATTTTATCATCCCCATAGAAAGATAATATCAATCCCATTCAATAGTTGAGGTTCAGAGATGGGGTGTGCCTTGCCGGAGGTCACCAACATCTTGAACTGGAGATCTGGGATGGGAACATAGGCCAGCCTGGTGCCTCAGCCCTGCCGCATGCCCTCTGGCTCTGCAGGTGGATTGGGAGAACCTGATCCCAAAGGATGAACTCTGTCAACAAGGCCCAGAGTGAGAGAGCTGGAGGAACTGGGACTGGTCCTCTCCCTCCTGAGATGAACCACATAAACAACCAGGTCCCTGGGCACCAGGGCTGCTGCAAGGGAAGGGGGTAGGAAAGGGCAAAAGGTCACTTCTGAGAAGGTTCTGCCTGAGGGCCATAGACCCCAGCCCACACTCTGGAAGTGGGATTCTGCCTCCTCTACTTAAAATCTCTTAGGGGCTGCCCTTGGCTTCAGGACAATTCCCAAATCTTTAGTATCCTGCTAGACCAGGGAGTTTCGGCCTGGCTGTGCTGACGCCTGCCCACTCTCTACCCTCTTTCTACCCCTGCTGCCCTTCTCCCATCACACAAGGCCTGTTCCTACCATCACTGAAGCCTTAGCACACACTGTTCCCTTTCCTTCACCCCTTCTTCTTTGCCTCCTCAACTCCTTGTCACCCTAGTCTCCCTGACTCCCTTCTTTCAACACATGTCACCTGCTCTGGGCCATCTCCTGGCTAGAATGGACCTTCCCAGAGGCAGGGTCTGCCTGGCTCACAGAGCTTGGTACATCAGGTGTCTGAACGCATCGCACTCAGCAGGGAGCGGGGTCTACCCTCTTTCTCCCCTTCTCTCCACTCCTCCCACTCCTACCTTCCTTTTTTTTCTAGTCCAGGGCCCCTCACACCTTTTCTTGAGCACAAGGTGTGAGAAACCCAAATCTGCAAAGGGAAGAGAATCATCATACACTATGCACCCTCCACCTGCCAGCCGTGGGCTGGGTGCTGGACATCCAGTTAGTACATTTAATCCCCCAAACACCTTCATGGGGGTAGGGCAGTATGGGTGTAAATTATTCCTATTTTCCGGAGGAGTGTGAGACTACCTGCTTGAAATGGTAACAGAGCCTGTAAGTAGAGGATGCGGCATTTGAACACACGTCTGCCTGCTGCCCGAGTACCTGGTGTCTGTGACTCACCGTTCACAGCCAGCTCACCTCCAACCAGGGAGCGACTGTTTCTCACCCGTGCCCTCAGTTCACACACACCCCAGGCAACACAGTCCCTCTGTTAGATCAGCAAAACACCAGTGTAGAGGCCAATGTAGAAACCACTCCTTCCTTGGGTCAACAAAATGCCAGTGTGGGAGAAATACCTCCAGGTCAGCCAGACACTAATCAGGGAGACACCCCCATTGTCAGCGAAGTGCCCGTACAGGTGGTACACCTTGCATCCCCAGTCAGCAAAAGGCCATTGTGAGAGATACTCCCCTATACCACCCTCTGCCCAGGCCCATGACATGGGCTAGGGGTGTACAGATAGAGTCCTTCAAGGTGGTGCTCCCAGGATGGGGGAGGCAACATAGCTGGGGCTGCTGCTGCTGCCTGGGGAAGAAGGTTGTGGCTGGGGAATGGGGCAGACTCGGTGAGAGTTCTCACATGGCACTAATGAAATCAACCACCAGCTTGTGCCCCCCCGCTCCCGAGGGACCCTCCAGGCTCCAGCTGATGCAATGCCCAGGCCGGATAATTGTTTTCTTCCTTCCTTAAAGGGCCAGCTGCTGTTACAGCTGCATACATAATCCAGACCCTGGACAGACCCCGTAGAACTTAGTACCTGGTTAGGGATGGGGGAAGCACAGAAAGGAGCACCTCAACCCTGGGTTCTACAGAAGAAAATCCAATTAATGTCCAGAGACTAGAGGTGTCTGTGAGCAAGAAGGGAGAGAAAGATAATAACACAGAGACAGTGGCCCACGAGACCACATGCCCAGAGGGAGGGACCTTGGTCCCTGCTGGTCCTCAGCACCTGACTCCTGCCTGCCTCTCCTGTCAAGTCCTTGGCACAGGAATTGGTGGTGAGTTCAGCAGCTATCTTACCGAGCTCCCTGAGTGCTAGGCACTGTGTTAAGCAGCCTAAACCCACCATTTTATTTACTCCTCCCAGCAGATCTAGAAGGTTGGTCTGTTTTACTAAAGGAAGCTCAGGGAGGGGAAGTGATTTCTTGAATAGCAACAGCCAGAAAGTGGCACCGACTGGGTCTGAAGCCAAGTTTGCCTAACTCAGGGCTTCATATCCTGCAGAGGGTCAAGTAGGTGTTGAACCACAGGGCTGGAGGACCCTAAGCCAGGCAGCCTGGCACAGAGGGCAAGGAAGGGGTCTGTGGGCCCTAAACAGACTCTGAAGGGCATGGTGCTTGGTTTAAGCACAGGTTTCACAGACCCCTTCCCTAACCACCACCCCCCCAAGAGAATGTCCCATTAGGCTGCCCACATGCCCTTAGGGATAGTTGGCAGCTGCCTGATTACAGACTAATTGGTGGCTGGCAGCAACTGTGGGGCTGGCTAGTTAACCCCTTGGTGACCAGGCCTATCCCAGAAAGGCCCTCTCCCACCACTTCAGGCCTCAAACCCAAGGACTCTAAACTTAAGTCATCGCAGACAGAAGACAGGACCAAAGAGGCAGCAGCCTTCCTCTCCACACCCAGGCAACATCCCTGGAGCTGGGGTTGGATACTGACATTCATCCAGGCTCCCTAGCCCCGTAGGGCCACATCCAAACGGCTCCCAGGTGGCAGTGCCAGCCAGCACCCCTGTTCTCTGGCCTTGGTTATGGGACTGCCAATCGCATCCAGGACCACAGGCGCTATGGGCCCTCCCTGCGTTTTCAGGCTCAGGATACTGGGAACCCACTCCTCAAGACTGGGCTGTCCAGAGAAGGTGATGTGGGCGTGGGTTCAGGCGGCCTGGAGGCCAGCCAGTGAAGATACACTCCCTTGAATGAGAAGGTGCCCAGGTTGCTCACCAAGGGTCTTGCCAAGCCTCCCTGAACCTTGGACTCCCCACCGTGGATTGACCAATTTGCCTTTCCCAGCTTCCCAGAAGCCCCCTCTTCCCATTCTAGGGCTGGAGTGAACACCACCCCTTTTCTTTCATGGAGTGGGGGGTCCTCTAGGCACCACAATGGTGTCTCACAGGGAAGAAAGAGTGGCTGCTTCTCAACCAGGGCACGGGCAGGACAGAGAAAGGCAGGCTGCCTTCCAGCTCCCTTTCCAGGAGGGATTTTAAGCACTTTCCAAAAATGCCATGCGAGGCAATGCTGTTGAAGACCAGGGCCCCAGATGCTCTGAGCATCAGCAAAAAACTCAAGACTGTGGGGTCCCTTACCCCATTTTCCAGGCTTCCTCAAACACTCCATGTTCCCCTCTTATACCTTAGCCCCCACCCCAGAGCCATCACACACACTATGCTCATTCCCCGGGCTCCCGCCCCCCAGACCCTGCGCGCTCAGATCCCTACGTGGCGCCTCCCGGCCGGAGCCCCTCTTCTCTCCCCGGGTGGTCCCCCAGACCTCCGCAGCCCCATCCCCACGTCCACTCCCAGGCGAGCAAGGCCTACTGACTTACCCGGAGGCGGGGCTGGGGTCCAGACAGGGAGGGGTCTCCGCTGGCGGAGGCGGCTTTGCGAGGCGGGGCAGGTGCTGCCCCGGGACCCCGCCCCGCGGACCCGGCGGTAGGCGCGGCCCGGTCCCAGGCGGGCGGCGGACTCC